CATCTCTAAAGCTGCTGAATCATCTATCTGAAGAATGCATTATTCCCAAAAAAGCTGCTTCCCAGTCTTTCCCAGTTACTATTGGGAGTCTGGTCTGGTTTTTAATTGGACTCTCTGGCTAAACCGAAAAGCAAGTGCAGTTTCTGTTGTCAGTGGCTGATCTGTGGCTGAAAGCGTTTCTCTTCCCAGAAAATGTACTTGATTTTTAAACCAAGCTCTCATTCCCTGCCTTTAGATCAAGGGAACTGGGTATTCACAGTATCATTAGATAGTCCCCTGTAGGAGATGCTACTGCTTTCTCTTTCATTCCATTGGGTAATCCCACAAGCAAACTCAGGCAAAGAAGTTACAAGGATCATCCCCCTTTGTCTCCAGCATCTCTTACTGAACTCTTTCAAATATCTCAGAGTGATAATAAGTGCATAGAGATTGTGTGCTTGCCACACCCCTCATTTGTAGTTTAATGTCCCACCTTGCTAACTCTGACCTTTTTTTTTAAGTATATAAATGTTCCTGTGTTATCTCTCTACAAGATCTTGAGTGTTTGCAGAGTTCTTCAAAGCCCTCCTGGGTGACTTGTGAAGTGGTGAGAAGGTCATTCTGAAGAAACAGGAATTAGGGAGTGACAAGAAAGCAGCAACTCTCCCCTAGAAAGGGCTGAAGGATGTGCCCTTGAACAGTGTTTCCTGCTTGCCATCTGGAGCATTGACTCTTAGAACAGAAAATTGTGAGTGAGAGTTACAGTTCCCAGAAGTGTGGTCAGCTATGGGTGGGAGAGGGCATGGCCAGATCATAGTCTTTGTATCACCATACCTGATAGCCACCTGCTAATCTTTTATCAGTGATCACACCACAACATTCAGTGAGCTACCACTTAATGCAGAAGAGAGAGATAACCTGCTGGACTTCCTGTTTGAAGTTTCTTTCCTTCTTGCGATAACAGTATTTCTCATCAAAGCCAGGGAGCCGCTTGGTTAGGGAGACCAGGCTGGGTGAGGGCCAGGCTTCAGCCATCTGAGAAGGAAGACACACACTTCACAGTCTGGCCTCTGTGGCCAGAGCAGGAAGCTACCACGGCATGAAGAGATCCCAGGCTCACCCGGAGGGAGGGAACAGTTGACCTTGCAGGGCCTGGTTTATCTCCTCACACACCACTGTTTATACTCTAGTCCAGAACCAAGAGGCCCCAAGGTACCTGGGTTGGCTCTGCTTCTGCTGCCCCAACAATTTCAGAAGAACTCCCTAAAGGAAGGAGATAGGGAAGGGCAGGATGAGCCCCTGGAGTCACTCCCTCTCCTGGAGTCACTCCCTCTCCTGGAGTCCAGCAGAGGTCTGATGAGAGCACCTTTAAAGGATAATGGCTTACCTATGCAGCCACAACCCATTCCCTCCTCAGCATGACTCTTCATTCGATTTCCCAAGCTCCTATAGAACTTCCAGCTGGAAGAAATGGGATTGTTTTTTCAGTCACCGGTCTGTAACCTTCCCAAACTCACACAGTGCTGGGTCCTTATTTCCAAGGAATTGGGATTTTAAGGAATTTACCTAAATATTTGCCCCTGACACCTGTAATCTTAGGTCACCCCCACCCGGCCATTTCTTGAGAGATGGTCTGTTCTGCTTTGTTCTTTAGTTATATGTACATGATTTTTCTTCCCACCTTAGCTTTCAACTTGCTCCAGGCCCAGACTTTACATTGTTTACCCCTGTCATCCTAAGGACTCTTCCTTGGCACACCTTGTGCAGAATAAGAGTTCAGGTAGTGTGGCCTGGCTCAGAGGCTGGACAGTTGAGTGACTATTTGGCTGGATAAAGGGCTTAGAATGAGGCTTGCCTTACCACTAAGAAAGCAGTTTCGGTCTCCTTGTCTCCATGAATGATCACAAAATAATGGGTCACTAGGGCCCCAAGAGGAGAAAACATGAGTCATGCTAGTATCAGAGGAAAGAAAGAGGCCAAAAACGTCTCTCTTTGTACAAGGGTCAATGCCATGAGGTGGAGGCATTAACACAATGGCCTCTACTATGTCCTCAGTCTATAGCTAATCTAAATTACTTTATGATGGCAAGCAAGGCAGTGAGGGACCTGGAAACTGTTCAGTTTGGACAAGGACTCATGACATTTCTAGGAAGCCATTCAGAGCAAGACTTTCTTTGCTCAACCAAGAAAAGGGATCCATGGATTTTTTGTTTTGTTTTGGTTTTTGGTTTTTGGTTTTTGAGACAGGGTTTCTCTGTAGCTTTAGAGCCTGTCCTGGCACTTGCTGTGTAGACCAGGCTGGCCTCAAACTCACAGAGATCCACCTGCCTCTGTCTCCCGGGTGCTGGGATTAAAGGCGAGCGCCGCCACCGCCTGGCAATCCATGGCTTTTTATCTGATGTGCTGTGATTTTTCTAGCCAAGAATGAACTTTTAATTCTTTACATGGAAACTTTCTTGATTAAGAAAGCCTGTAGGGCTCAGTGTTGGTGGCGCATGCCTTTAGTCCCAGCACTTGGGAGACGGAGGCAGAGGCAAGTTAGCTTGGTCTACGGAGCAAGTTCTAGGACAGCCAAGGGTACACAAAGAAACCCTGTCTTGAAAAAACAGGGAAGAAGAAAGAAAAGCTGTAAGAAGCACCAGACAGCCTCAGCCTAAAACACAGGGCAATTAGTTATTTGACTCACTTCCCTCAGAAGCTCTTCCAGTCAATGGCAAACAGAGAGCCTGAGTCCTCAAATTTGAAAAACAATGCCCTCACATACCTTTTTGGATTAGAACCACAGATCCACGTTACCATGGGAATAGTTTCCAAGTTTATATCCAGATTCTGACACTCTGTAACCTCTGAAACTTTACTCACCACTTTGGCCCTCCATTTCATCTCCTGTGTAAGACCTACTTCACTGAGGTGAAGAGAGGATGAAATTGCCTTGGCTGACAGATGGTGGATAATCAGAGCCACACTCAGGAGTCACTAAGGTACAGTCAGCAACATTAACCCATCTTTCAGCCTCCAGTTGTCCACAGTCAAGCCCTGGGAATTCTGGTACCAGACATGAGATGACTTCTTACTATGCAGTGGGTCCTCCTCCTCCCTGCCCTTCCCTCTAAATTGACTTGGATGCTGTCTTCAATCCTGGGGACCAAAGAAGGCCCACTTCAGAAGTGTAAGGCTGATGTTTGTAATAACCAGCTCCTATATGCTGAAGTCCCATAAGTTGAGCTGGTTAAGTTGGGAATGCATAGGGCCCCATTATTGTTAGTATTGTGTCAATACCCTTATTACTAGATTTTGTTAAATCATTGGTATCCCAAACTCCCCCAAAGCTGGAGGACTTAGAGCTGAGATGTTGGCTCTTGGATGACAATCTGCCACACCCTGGTCAGACAGCTAGCATGTAGGAGCAGGCAATATTAATGCTTAATGAATTCCCACTTCCCCAGATCAACTTCATGGGTGAACATGGGAGCCTGCATGTGTCATTGTTACTTTGCAGGTCTTAAATATATTTTTTCAGACTTCATGGGAACTTCTGGAAGGCTGTTCTTATTGGCTGTAAAAATTGTTGGATCAGCATGGTCCTATCTTCAAAGTCAAGACTGAGGCACTAACTCTCTGTACCCTGGGAAAACCTTTACTTGCATGGATCTTTACTGTCCTATATGCCAAATAGAGATGATCGGGTGGGTCAGGTTCAGCTTCCTCGTGCTAGTGGGTTGGAGAGTGAGAGGAATAAGCACATAGCCATTTAATTATCAACCCCAATTCTGTGACTTCCAAATAAAATTATCTTTCTGAGAAAGAACAAGCCTTGGGCAAGATGAAGAACTTCCTTTCTTTTTCAAGGGATGCTGTCATGTATTGATTGTATTCGAAACTCTCGAATTTTCTTTGCACTCTTGTGCACAGAAAGACAGGTTCCCACTTGCCCCTCCTAACCCAGTTCCTTTCCATCACAGGTGCTCCATCTTAGCCCCTTTTAGTCAACAAAACAATTGCTCAATCAACAAGCATTTATTGATCATCTTTGTGTGTGCCCAGCACTGTTACAGTCTTGGGTATACATACAGACAGACTTAAGATATGATAACTATAGTCTAAGTACTTACAGTGAACTTTTGAGATCACACACACACACACACAAAAGAACTATCAAATTATCAAAATCATGACTAATAAGCATTAAACGATTTATATATTGAGATTTGGAGGAGGGAAAGGTAAGGGCAGGAAGGAGTGGTCAGAGAAAGCTCAATGAAGGCGGCGATGCCAAGCAAGTTTTCCAAGCATGGGGATGACTCAGCTAAGAGAAAATGACTTCCATGTCAGTAAAGTGGCTTGAACATAGGTAACATGGTGGGAATAGGAAAGGCATGTTAGAGGAAACCTCACACATGGGTCTTCCTTGCCGGCACCGAGGTTTCGACGAGGTGTGCTGGGCATCTTCTGAGGCTGGTGATATTAGGCTGGTGGAGAAAAGATGTCTTTTGTTTCTGAGCCCCACCTATCACAGACGAAGTGGAACAGTTTAAAACCTTGAAAGTGAAACTGTTTGACTGAGAACCGTTCTCTATTCTCCCAACTCAAGCACAATCCAGGTCATAGATGTTCCACACTGGAGACCTTGCAGCCCTGCCAGAATATCTTCTGATGGGCAACAACACGAGTTGAAAAGTGACCAATGACCTATCTGGTGCTGTGGTCTTTCAGAGGTTCTGTAGTGCTCTGAGTATAGATCGTCGGCCGGTTGTTTTTCCATTAAGTCTGAAGTTGCTGGTAGGACTGTCTCTGAAACAGCAGGAGCACAGCCATCATACATGTCCACCCAGCTTCTTAGATCCGGAAGTTCTTACTCTTTCTTGGCCAGGTTTAAGGAGTAGTATCTTTCTTAGTCCTTCCTCTACAGGTGGCATGTTGAAGGACAGTTCTAGAAAAACTGGTTTGTTGTCCCCAAGGAAACCTTTGTCTAGGGCTTAGCCAGGAGGCTAGGTCAGACACCCCAGAGAGGGCAGAGGCTTCAGCAGCAGTTGTTAACTGCAGCTTCTTGGCAATTCCTCAGTGTAGTCAAAAGTGCTGCAGACTTGTGCTTTCCTGCAACTATACTTCCACAAGAGTATGGGAATCAGAGGAAGTGCCCTGGAACTGATGCTGATGGTCTGGGCGTCCCAGGTTGCCTACCATCCTGTGCCCAGTTGCTTTGTGTTGGATGCCATGAGACATCATTCCTTTAGTTCATTCACAGACCAGTCTAGACATGCTGAATTCATAACAAAGGTGGGAGGGAGACTTCAGGGCCTGCTACTGATCAATCCATTTCTCTGGATGGAGGTTTAAGAAGGGAGCTAGAGCTATGCTCACAGAAGCCACCGCTCCTTCTTCTCTCTGTCCCCAGCAACTGAGTTAAGAGCCAACTTCAACTAGAGGGAGAAGGTCTTCTGGTCACAGATGATCACAGATGGATATGATTAGTGGGGTGGGGGCACGAATTTCCAGGTAAACCAAAAGGCAGAAGAGCTCCTCTGGGTTTAGCCAAAAGTAGCAGGGATGAGATTTGGAGTTTTAGGTTGAGCATTCAGGGTACAGGAGGTGCCTTGGTGAGGCAAGGTAAGGGAAATAGAAAAGCTGGCTTGATGAGTGTCCTTGGCAATTCAACCTATATGCTGTCACACCAGTCCCCATCTCTGCCTTCACTCCATCCAATATCCACAGTCAGTCTATTCTCAGCAGCACCTTTCACGTGATTCAGTGGCAATGCCCCTTGTCTGTGACCCTTGGGGCATTGTCCACTACTTTTTTTTTATTTTTACAGTCCCAGTCACCACCCCACCCCACCCCCAGCTCTGGCCCCTGATTCTTCACACATACCCAGTCAGGCTGTAGGAGTTGAACTCACTCTTGGCTTTGGGCTGTTGGCCAGGCCTTGGAGAGCTCCTAGTGGCAAGAGGCTGGGCCTGGTAGCCATCATAGTAGCTTGTACGATTTCCTTGAGGTGAGCAGGAAAAGCAGAGGATGATTCCAGCTACCATGGAGAACAGGGCTGAAATAATGCCCAAGTAAAGAGCCTCTCCAATCTCAAATTTCATGCTGTCAGGAACCAGTGGTGAGTAGAAGTCCCGAAGGATGCCATGAAGATTCCAGGCAACTGGGATAAAACCCAGTATGCCGCCAAGGATGAAGAAAACTCCACCTACTACAGCCACTCTGTCCTTAGCTCGCGATTCCTGGCAGAACACTGTGCATCTCATGCCCACCACAGAGATAATGCAGGCTAGTGAGGACATTGCACTGGATGTCACCATCATGGCCTGGGCAGCTTGGATGTCAGCAGGAAGTCCTAGAAGTGTACTGTAGATATCACACTGGGTGATGCCTGTGCTGTGTGTAGCACACTCCATCCAGAGGCCCTTGGAAAAGCCAACCGCTGTCACAATGCTGGCACCAACATAAGAACTTGTTCGCCAATTGGGAAGCAGCATGGCAATCGATGTGCCTAAAAGCCCCAAAAGGCCTAGGATGTAGCCCACCAGTTGGACGCCAAGGGAGGCCATGGCAGACCTTTCAATATAAGTCTCTTCGGAGCCCGTTCTCTCGTCTTTTTGGCTGCTGCTCTTGTTTCTTGGATCCCGGACTCTAATCCCTCATTTCACAGTGTCTCTGGCAAGCTGACTTCTTTCCTCCTTACAAGTATCTGTGGGTGGCCACAAGCAGGCTCAAGAAGGCATCTAGAAAACCTTAAAAAAAACCATAAACCAGATTAAATATTGACCAGAAGCTTATGAGAAACCAGAAAACGCTGGATGCCTTTTGACCTTTGTTATCTTTAAAAATAACACATGAGAAAGAAAAAAAAAACTTTGGAAGTTGAGCCAAAATGTCATCACCTCCTGCGTAGGCACATGCTTTAGGTTGGCAGTCAGACAAAGGCAGGGGCCAGACAGGTGGCTGCTTTCCGAGAAGGTAGTGATGGCAATAGCAATTCTGGTGTGTTAGCTCCACTGCTAGTCTCCAAGGCCTGCTATTTAACATATTGCCAAGCAACCACACCACGGGGGCCCCTCAATTGCAGACTGAGGCCAAACTCCAGGAGACTGGATCCCGCGGAACAAGTCTTAGAATGTGGCCTTGGACTCCAGTTTGTTAGAGGGTACTTGAATTGCCAAGGAACTAAAGAGTACTGGCTTAGCCCAGAATCATTTTTGCCTATGGCAATAATGTTCTTCCAGGGCAAATCAGGGTGGCAAACAAAGCTTTCTGTCCACTCTCTGAGAGGACAGTTTTTTTAGCCTCACTCAGCATAAGAGCCCCTAAAGGTACAGTACACTGGGGATTTCCTGTCTCCTCTCCTAACAGATGATCACATGACCAGCCTCTCAAATGACATGGGAGGACTCTAAAGAAAAATTGTTGGACTCCAGGTCCTAGGGGTCCTCAAGGTCCCTGACTTGTAAACAGCAGAAAAAGTGGGGAAGGGAAGCTGCTCCAGTAATAGAGGGTTTGCAAAAAGTAGGCAAGCATTCA